ACCAGCAGAGCCTGACAGCACTTTGCTTACCCTGGGTTTCAGCTTCCAGACACAGACCCTTGAAATAGACTCTGTGGAACAGGTGGATGCAATTAAAAATTACAAAGAGGGGAGGGGGATAATCTGGTCGGGAAAAAATACGGCCACAGTCATTACTTTCTAATCCAATATCTTTGTTAATTAAGCATTTTCCAACCTACGACGAGAATACTACTAGTAATCTAATACTGCAGTCCTCATTACTAATAAAACATATTTATGAAACGGGAATATAATGTGCCTATTTCCAAAATGTGGTTATAAATGACTTACTCTAAGCTACAATGTAAAGTGGTTTGAAAATTAGTCTTTAATAAAGAATTGATGAGGATGATGACTGCTGAAAATAATTTTATTTGGTAAGATTATTTGGTTTCTGCTGTGGCAATCTGAGCTGAGGTGACTGCCTCAAAAATTATTGCAAGTGACTAATACAGGAAATTTAATCGATGATAAATACAGTGGTAGTATGTCAACTCTGCTTTTTTTTTTCTTTTTTTCTTTTTGGTGCTGGGGATCGAACTCAATCCTTGCACTTGCGAGGCAGGCAGTGGAACCGCTGAGCTAAACCCCCGGCCCTAGTATGTCAACTCTTGAAAAAGTGAGCATGTAATTGAGGAATTCAGTGTCATCTTCTCACTGCTAATTAGACAGCACTCAGTCATGGTGTTGTCAGGGTGTCCTTTGTCAGGCACATCTGCACATAGTAGGATTTAAAAAGTGAGTGAATGAACACCTATACTTAGTCCTCAATGTGGGTTCCTGTGTACAATGATGCTTAATCGTATAGCCACTAACATTTAGGAAAAAAATTGTAATATAGTTTAGGCTAGAGCCATAATAGCATTTGTAAGTTAGTCAAGTGGATTTACAGCATGGTCCAGAAAGGCTGGATGCTAGCCTGAGTATTTTAGAAGGAATAATTAATAATAATAATAATAATAATAATAATAATAATAATAATTGAATCCAACCAACCAAACAAACAAAAACCTCACTTCTCTTTTTAATGGTGTCACTATGCTCATAGGCCAGGTTCCCTTGACTAGAGCAAAGCACGTGACATTCCTTCATTGGCCGTCCCCCTGAACAAAGAGTTAAGTGGTCCTGTAGACAGGCACAGATATCATGTGCTCGTAGAATCCTTCCAAAATTCTAGGCTTCGTCCTAGATTGTAGAACTCCAGGGAACGAAAAGACCCTGACCACCAAGGAGTTGAAAGCCTCGTGAGGCCAAACAAACGAAGGAGCAGCTGAGTGGAGTATGAGAAATGCACGCGGCACAGTGCCACTGGGGAGTGGTGCTTCACGGAGATGAAGGCTGAAGTCGGCTAGGGAGGGCTTTGCCGGAGCAGGGACTCTGTCTGTGTGGACATATTTTTAATGGTAATGAATGAATCGTCTTTATTTAATGAGGAAAATATAACAAAAGTGAAACAAAAACATGAGGCATGTTGGCAGCATGTGCAGGTTATGAGGTGGAAGCCCTCAGCTGTGGCTCTCCCTGGGGACCCTGACTTCAGGCTTAGGGAAAAGGTGAGTGGGTTAAGCACTAAAGGAGTAGAAGTTTTCAGGTCAAACCAAGTGTCGCCAAGAGCTTCCAAGCAGAGAAACAGGCCTCGAGATGACATGAAGAATCTGAGTCTGAATATTCTGTGCAAATCCCGCAGGATGTACGGCGGAGGGGAAGATGGGGCCATGCAGGGCGACAGCGGGCAGGGACACAGTCCTATGACAAACTGAGGGTCTGGTCGCTCCTGTGCAGTGATGGTCAACTCTGCAGGAATTCTGATTTTCCATTTGTATTAGTGATTTGTGTCCTGGCATTGTAAGTAGGAAGAATGACAATTACAAGAAAAAAAAATCAATCTGAGCAGGGAGAGAAAGATAAGTATTCATGTCCCCTCTATAAAGTCACAAACACGAACTTCTCTTAATACCGTGCTAGCAAAAATTTGCCAGTACATGATCTATGTTAAAGGAAGTGAAGGTCTGTAATTGGTTCAAGTCCCTGTAGGTGGCAGATGAGTTGTGATAATTTTCATTGACCCCGGCATTGGTCAAATGACATTTGGAATTTTTATACAGATCTGAAAAAAAATTTTTTTTTTCAAAAGATATGGGACTCTGAGTATGTTGGAAAGAGGACAGTCTTTGTGATCGAGGGTCAGGTAATGACGCTACTAGAAGGGATAACAGAAAGAAGTAGCAATGGTTGAGCTGGACAGGAGAAGAGGGAGAATAACGAAAGCTTTACCTGGCCCTCTGAGGTTGCTTTGAACAAAGACGCGCTCTGTGTTACCGGTCAGCCAAAAGCAACGAAGGGCTTCAAATCATTCCGTATCCAAAAAGGGAGAGTAGATGGCAAGCAAGGATGTGCCGGGGATTTGAGACCCTGGGGAGGTGAAACTAGACCACGCTGACGGTCTTTCCCCTCTAAATGCTCCACATGGCAGGACATCGTGGCTATCTCAGGCATCCATCATTTCAAAGACACCCCTGCTCCCTTTTAGTTTACCTCTCTGGAAATCTAGCTCATGTTAAAATAACCAACGAATATTTTTGCCCAGTTTATCATCAGTTTTTGAGGCGGATCAAAGAAGAGGACACGCTGCTATCATGTCTCCTTGAAGAGATGTCCAACCCTCTCCCGGGGACAACCACTGACCTCTTCTGAAATCGGGGCTTGAGCCCAACTGGCATCAATTAGGAAGCAGGAATCATTCAGAACTACACTAACGACACAAACCATGGAGCTTATAAAGTACCTTGAGGATACAAAGGATTCTTTTGAGTGGCAAAACTACAATGACAAAAGCAACAAGGAGAGAGTGCTTAGGGTTTGGCAGCTGAACTGTGTGGAGATGGACCAAGGCACAATCACTGCCACCAAAACTCTGCAGTGATCAGGGGAGGTTTCCATTTTCATAAGCCAGGGACGACCAACGAGGTCATGGTAAGGAGACTTCTAATTATTTGTTGCTAAAGCAGTGCAAGTATCAATTTCATACACCAGAGATTGAGTTCTACCTGTTATTTATCATAAAATCCGCAGGGTAAAAATTAGCAATAGACTGCTGCTTCTAAATTTTTAATGATTCGTTTTAAAAGCCCAAATGAAGATCTTTGGATATGTTTTGGGAAGCAGAATCAACACTTAAAATCTAAAATTAAAAAAAAAAGGAATTAGTGGAACATTTTAGGATTCATTGATACCAAGTATCAAATTCAAACCTGCAGTCCCAATTACAGTCTTTAACTTTTGATGCTCTTGTGTTACTATATATTTCGTTTCGCCATCTGCTCTGTTTAATGATACAGTTGTGTTATGTAGCAATATTTTCTATCCCTGACCAAGGTCATTCCAGTGACCAAGGTGACAACCAAGAGTATTTTTCTTCTGACAAAGATACCAAATCTATACACAAACTGCAGTGCAATCTTAGACCGTGGAGAACACCTTCTCCGTGTGACTAAAGTTGAAGTTGGGCGTGTGTAGCCAGAAGAAAAAAAAAATCCGTCAAAGCAAACATGATATCTGGGGGAACAAAGGCAGGGCCATCACAATGACTTGGTTCCCCTATACTGTAATGGGGAACGTGTTCCTCAAGATATGTGGGGGGCTTGAAGGAGAACCTGCAGGTACTTCCTGCATTTGTTTTCTATTTTCCACACCTTCCTTCCCTCGCTGCTGATGGACTTTGTGTTTCCCATTCTTTCCTCTGGTTTTGATCTACCAGTAGGACTTCTGCCAGTCATCTTTTCTTTGGTACTGGGGATCGAACTGGGGACCTTGAGCTTTTGAGTTAGGCAGTGGAACCACTGAGCTAAATCCCTGGCGGCCCTCTGCCAGTCATCTTCTTCTTCTTCTTCTTCTTCTCCTTCTTCCCCTTCTTCCCCTCCTTCCTCCTCCTCCTCTTGCTTCCTCCTCCTCTTCCTTCCTCCTCCTCCTTTTGCCCTTTTCGCCCTTTTGCCCTTCTGCCTGTTTTTGCTGGTCTTCTGCTGGTTCCTATGACCTTCAATAAACATACCTACTTACTGCTTACTACAAGGTGTATACTTGGCAATTCTCTTATTGTACACAAGAACCTGAAGAACTGTTTTGGCCCCTTTGAAGGTAACACTTTAACAATTTCACCTTTAATTTCCCATTTTCTTATTCATACCACTATTCCTCCTCTTCCTCCTCCTCCTCCTCCTCCTTCTTCTTTTTTTGTTGTGTTGTGTTTTTTTGAGACAGGGTCTCACTATGTCGTTGAGAATGACCTGGAACTCACTATGTAGCCCAGGCTGGTCTCGATCCTCCTGCCTCAGCCTCCCGAGTGCTGGGATTACAGGCGTGCGCCACCATGTCCGGCTTCAGTCATCTTCTTAGCAAACTCTCAGCCACAACAGTTAAGAGGTTCAAAAAAAAATTTTTTTAAAGAAACGGATAACCTTCATATTACCATAATATCTGCACAAGAGTGAAGGTCCACCTGATCATGTGATCCGCGTAAACAGGTGACCTTAAAGGTATCTGGGCAGTAAATTTGTGTTCTGACATTTGTGTATATCATCTTTCAGGGACCACTATGGGTTGTTCCTCTTAAATTTTGAATAATAATCTTTGAAGAAGAGAGATAGCACACACTGCCTTTATTTCTAGTTAAGAAAAACAACAGGCCAGAGAGCATAACGGTAACGTATGATTTTGCTGCTGTATTATCATCCGGTAATAAGTGCAACGTGAAACTGCCAATTATCTCATAAGAGAGGTATCACCTCTTCTGTTGTGAAAGGCTCCATCAATAACTGGGTTCAGCTCTCTCATTCTCCCCTGAGCCACCGGCAGCTTCCCGTAGCAGAAGTGAGCCAGGGACACACAGAGGAAAGCAAACACAGTCAACACACAAACGCTCAAGCCAGCTCGGCCTCTGGCCTGGGCACAGAGAAGGGTCAAGGCAAAAGGAAGAGGGAGGGGCAGGGGCCTGGCCTGGAGTGAGCCGCAGGTCACACGCACGCGCAGCTTGGCAGCAAACTCAGTTTACAAAGAGACATCTGTTCCATTACTCTGATGCACTGTGGCTAATTACATCCTGGCCCGTCTGTGAAATGACAGCCACTTATTCTCCAGTGAACCGTAAGATCTGTACATGTTCAATGTGGGGAGTGGGAGAGCAGAGGTGTGGAGGCTGGGGT